TTCTTTGCACCCTCCCCTTGAAAATACCTTTAATCCCAGAATTTGAAAAAGCATTCGTAGTCTGATGACTTCTCATTTGTTTATCTCCAGTTTTAACATTTGTTCTGGGATCCAGACCCAGTCTGTGTGCCAACTTCACAATTCCACTTGCATACTTAATAAATATCTTAAACTTGACATGTTCAAAGTAAAAGTCTTGATTTCTTTTCTCCAAACATCTTCCTACTTTGATCTTTCCTATCACGACTCATGGTACCTTCAGTTACAAGCCCTGAGCAATTCTTGATTTTTCCATTTATTTTATTGCTCCATCCATCACAAATTCTGCCATTTCCACCTGCAAAATAAATTCCAAATCAATTCATGTTTTCCATCTTCAGTATTACATCACTAGACAAGTCACCATTGAAGACAGGATACCAGAGAGAAGAGGGGTACTGGGGGTGAGGGGGTAAAACTTTTTCTATTTTAACAACTCACTCCTGGGGGAACTAATTGGGGTCCCACAAGAACTATCTTTTTAAAAATATTTTTAGTTGTAGATGGACATAATAAATTTATTCTTTTGTTTATTTTATGTGTATGGTGCTGAGGATTAAACCCAGTGCCTCACACAAGCTAGGCAAATATTCTGCCACTGAGCCACAAACCCAGCCCCACAAGGACTATCTTAACTTCTTCTGAGGGTGTTGTAGGGATAAACGAGGCAAGGCATCAAAGATAGCAGGAAATAGTTTTATTTGGCTGCAGCCAGGTTCAGAGGGCACAGCTTTTGCTGTAATCAATTAATCCCCTGAACCCCGAGTTCAGGAAGTTTCAGAGTTTTATACCCAGCATGTAAAGGAAGGGGCTCAGAAGTTCACAGTCTGCAAAAGTTCACATAAAAGCAGCTTTTTCTTTCACTGTTCTGGGAAAGTTAACCCTTCAAGGACAACACCTGAGAAGGGGAGAGCTTCTTCTCCCCTTCTTTCCTCCTCCTGTCAGCTGTTATCATGGAGCCCAATTGTAACTTATCTTAAAAATGTAGACATTTCTGTGAAGCCCAGCTCAAGGCCAGAGGCCTTGTAAAACAGGGCAACACAAAAATAGAAAGTTTATCTACATTGGACTCTCTCCGAGACTCTTTTGCTGACAGTCCTCAAATCAGCCATGGTGAAGAGGGCTTTTCTGTGGAAAAAGGAGATGCCACTTCAAGGGTAGTGTCCTCAGTGACCTAATCACTTTCCATTAAGCCCCATCTCTTAAGAGTTCCACTACTTCACAGCCAGGCATGACTGCTCAAGCCTGTAATTCCAGTGACTTGGGAAGCTGAGGCAGGAGGATCACAACTTCAAGGCCACTCTCAGCAACCTAGTGATACCCTGTTGAAAAAAAAAAAATTTAAGTTTCACTACCTTGGTACTGGAAACCAAATTTCCAACACATGAATCTTTGAGAAATAAAATACATCCAAACCATGGTGGTAGTCACCTCTCTTAGTCTCTGTGTATCTAAAATCATGTGTTTGTTTGTTTTTGTTTTTGCAATGCTGGGGATTGAACTCAGAGCCTTGCACATGCTAGGCAAGTACTCTATCATTGAGCTATATCCCCAGCCCTAGAAAAGCAATATTTGAAGAGATTCAAATATCAAAGTGCTGATATCTTTTTCAAAATTTTTCCTCCAGAGCTAAAGAAAAAGCCCTAGAAATTAAAAAAAAAAAAAAATATATATATATATATATATATATATATATATATATACTCAGCCTAATTAACCTCAAAAGTGTTACAAGGATTTTAAAAAACAATTTTTTTTTCAGGGACTAGAAAAGTAGCTCACTTGCCTAGCATGCTTCAGGCCCCAGGCTCCATCCCCAACACCACTGTAAGAGGAAAAAAAGTTTCAACATGTAAAAACTAAGTGACCCTTGGGCTGGGGATGTGGCTCAAGCGGTAGTGCGCTTGCCCGGCATGCGTGTGTCCTGGGTTTGATCCTCAGCACCACATACAAACAAAGATGTTGTGTCCACCGAAAACTGAAAAAAAAAAAAACTAAGTGACTCTTATCACAGGCTTCTTACGAAATGAACCACAAAATGGTCTTGTTATTGTTTTGCTCTGGAGATTGAACCCAGGGGTGATTTTCCACTGATATACATCCCCAGAACTTTTTGGGTTTTTTTTTTCTTCCCCCAGGCCTTTTTTTGTGTTTTATTTTGAAGAAGGATCTTGCTAAATTGCTTAGGGCTTTGCTAAATTGCTGGTCTCCCTCTTGGGATCCTCCTTCCTCAGCCTAGGATTATAGGCAAATTGCACTGCACCCAGCTAGGATTTTTATTCTATTTTTTTTAATATTTATTTTTTTAGTTGTAGTTGGACACTATACCTTTGTTTTATTTATTTATTTATTTATGTGGTGCTGAGGATCGAACCCAGGGCCTCATATGCACTAGTCGAGCACTTTACTGCTGAGCCACAACCCCAGTCCATTGTTTACATTTTAATGTCTCTGAAATCAATCAACTGGCAATTTTTTAGTTTTAGTTTTGTCTTCCCTAGGGAAATTTTGTCCAGGTTTTCATATGTTTAGATTTCTGTATACATAGGTAATGTAGTCAAGCTCTCCGTCAGCTGTGTAAATCTCAAGAATGTTTATTTTCATTATCTATTGTTGTCACCTACTTGAAGTAGTCTCTCTGGAGCCTTCTAACTTGCTCTGTTACGGACTGTCTGTACTCTAAGGCTGTGGGACATCATCATCTTGGATTCTCCCTTCATTCTGTTGGGGATTTCCGTCACTTCTTCCTTGTGGTGAATACCTGGTTTCCTGGGTTCCCCTTCCTCCTCCCTCTTGGTTTATCTCCATGTTTCAGTATGGTAAATTCTCTTATCATATCCTGAGAGTGCTTTAATTTTTTAAGACTGTATGTCTGAAAATACTTTTTCTTCCCTCACATGATAGCTTTGTAGGGTGAGAATTCCAAGTTGAAAATGAGTTTTCCTTGGGTTTTGTTTTGTTTTCAATTTTGAAACAGGGTCCAAGTAAGTCTCCCAGGTTGGCCTTGAACTTGAATCCTACCTCAGTTTCCTGAGTAGCTGGAATTACAGAAGAATACCACCAGCTACTTTTTCTCAGTACATTGAAACATTTCTCCTTTGTCTTCTGGTATTCCATGAGAAAGTGTAGATTTCAAATGCATTCTGATCTTTTAGGTTCTTATTAAAAAAAAAAAAACAAAAAAAAACTATCTCCCTGGAGAAGTCTTAGAAACAGAATCTCATTGTCTACAATGTTATGGAATTTTTTTATAGAACACCAGTTTTTATTCATTATGCTGGAATTTAATGGACTAATTCTTTATGATAGGCATTCATTCCAGCTTTAAGGCTTATCAGGGTCAGCACTTCATCTCCTGATGCCATGTCAACATTACTCCTATGCTTGGTGCCTGAGAACTATCCTGTCCTAGCTTTGGATTCTGCTTACCATCCTATCTTTGGTCTCCTTTTTTGGTTTCTGGCACCTGGAAATTTCCCTTTCTTGCTTTCAGGCCGCCTCAGTAATGTTCTCTTGTGGCTTTAAATACCGTCTATACACTGCTTATAAATTACATATTTGTATCAAGTCTCTCCAGAACCACATGTTCTCTGTAGCCAAAAGAAATTTCGAACTTGAAATTCCACATCTGAATTCCTGATGGTCCCCCTAAGCCTATTCCTCCCTTAGTCCTCCTTACTCTTCCAGGTACTCCATCTGAAAACCTCAGAGTCATCCCTGACTCTTCTTTCCCACATTAAAATTCAACACTATAAGCAAATCCTCTCAAATTTACCTTGAAAATATATCCATAAACAAGTGAATGCTCACCATCTCCATTGCTAGCACACTAATCCAAATTACCAGCACATCTTGCCTACATCACTGAGCAAGTTTTCAGTTCAGTGGTATTGGACTGTCATTGTGATTGCCCCCCTCACTCCAGCCAATGAACAATACAGCCCCTGTATTCATGTCTTTGAGTGGCCCCCTTGCCTCAAGTCTGGGCTGGCCCTATAACCTACTCTAACATAAAAGAATGAGTAAAATTGATGCTTGCCAGTGATGAGCCTAAGCCTTAGAAGGCCTTCCATCTGCACCCTGACGGGAGCTTTGTACAGCCATGTAGGAAGTCTAGCTACCCTGTTGGAGAGGTCACATAGAGAGGGACACACTAGGAGACCACCTGAAGGTAAACTGAGGAATCGAACCAAGAGCAAAACCGCCCAAACACATGACCACAAGAGAGCTGCTGCAACCCACCACCACCTGCTTAAGCTATCCTGGCTAAGGTGCCATTCATGTGACTGAAGAAATCATGTTGGACATTCCAGGCCAAGCAGAAATTGGGTAGTACAGAGAGACAAATTGGTCTTCCTGTGATCCATCAGAATTCCTACCCACACAACCATGAATATTAGTATAAAGTTTGTCTTTTAAACCCTTAAATTATAGGATAGTTTATTATACCAAAATATATAACGTAACCTGACTACTTGATAACCATCCCCTTCAGCCTATTCTTATTACAACAGATGAATTTCTCTTAAAAAAAAAAAAAAAATATATATATATATATATATATATATATATATATTGTGGCTGGGGATGTAGCTTAGTTGGTAGGGTGCTTGCCTTGCATGCACAAAGCCCTGGGTTCAATCTCTGGCACCAAAAACAAAAAACAAACAAAATATATACTTAATTATAATGTACTAATTATATTGATAATAATAGAAGGAAGATCAGTACAGTAGAACAAGCTGATCAGAGGGGGAAGAGACGAGGGGAAGGGAAGATAGTAAGGAATGAAATTAATCAAATTATGTTATGGGTATGTATGAATATGGCATAATGAATCTCACAAATGAATTATGTATAACTATAATATACCAATAAAAATTTTTAAAAGAAAAAATGTAAAAGAGGTCATATTACCCCTGTGCTCAGAATCCTCCAATTCTTCTCATTCCATAGTAAAACCAAAACCTTTACAGTGGCCTATAAGGTCCCAGGGGTGACAGTAAGGTCAAATTCTTGTACTGCTGGAGAAAAGATGATTTTACCACTTTTTTTTAAACCATACAATTTATTTTTATTTTTTTAGTCATACATGACAGCAGAATGTATTTTGATATATAATACAAAAATGGAATGTACATACATCAATCATATTGTCTATTCTATTCTGCTGCCCTTCCTATCCCCCCTACTCCTCCCCTCCTGATTTTACCATTTTTAAGTGTAATAACTTTTTTAAATGTGTGTGTGTGTGTGTTTGAGTGTGTGTTGCTGGAGATTGAACCCAGGGCCTTGTGCATGTGAGGTAAGCACTCTACCAACTAAGCTATGTCCCCAGGCCAATTTTTTTTTAATAAACATTATTCTTTAAATTATTTTTTTTTAATGAGAAGAAAAGAAAAAGAATATGTAACAGAGACCATATGTGGCCTACAAAGCTTAAAATATTTACTATCTGGCATTTGGAGAGAAAAGTTTGTCAACCTCTGTCCCACACAATCTGGCCTCTCTCTGGCCCTGGTTGGTCTCCTTTGCTCCTTCCCCTTTCTTCCCTACCTCCAAGCAGACTGGCCTCCTTTTCTTCTATCACTCCAAAACAGCCAGGAATGCTCTGCCCTGAGGTCTTTGTTCCCATTGTTTTCTCTGCCTGGAATGTTCTTCCCCAGATGTTCGCACAAGGAAGTCCCCTATTCAAAATTACAGGTCATACTCCTTAACTCCCTTTGCTTTATTTTTCTTTAAAGCATGGATCACCAGCTAATATACATGTTTTACTTTTTATTGTTGTTTCCTATTTCTTATATCCTTCCCCTAGAATACAAATTCCAGGACAGGAGGACAGGAGCCTTCATCTCTTTCTTCACTATTGTATTACATTGTATTGTATTACCAGTGCTTAGAACTGTTCCTGGTGTATTGTGGGTACTCAGTATGAATTTCTTGAATGTCCTGATTCACAAAACCCTGCTTTCCGCACAACACTTGTCACTAGCTGCAGGCCATATGTAGTTTTGTCCATGAACTCCATGAAGACAGGGACCACAGGACAACATCCAACAAATATCAAGTATCTTATGTAATATTTACTATTCAATAAATATCTATTTCACATATTTTGGGGGTATTCCAGGGATTGAACTTAGGGGCACTCAACCACTGAGCCACATCCCCAGACCTTTTTTGTATTTTGTTTAGAGACAGGGTCTCACTGAGTTGCTTAGCCCCTCACTTTTGCTGAGGCTGGCTTTGAACTATCAAGCCTCCTGCTTCAGCCTCCTGAGCCCTGGGATTACAAGTGTGAGCCACCTTGAGAGCTTGTTTGGAGGTTCTAGCAGGGGAGCGCAGCTACTCGTATACCCTTGACCAAAGAAAGGTCCTCCTCTATCAGGGAAGGTCGTCCTCTTCCAAAGAGCACGCAGCTGCAGCCTTCGGGAGGGACGCACATGGAGCGATGAGGGAGGAAGGGGACACCCACCTAGCCAGCCAGATCAGCCGAATCAACCCTGGTGATCAATGGGGTGACAGATGTTGCAGCCAGATCGCCCTATCAAGAGCTTTGTAATGTTTTGAACAACTAATAATAAAAATTAATTAATTAATTAATTTTAAAAAAAAGTGTGAGCCACCACACCCGACTCCACATACTTTTTTTAAGAGCAAAAGGGAAATGAGGTAACATGGTGAGTCAACAACTTTTTCAAGAATTTTTGTAAATGGGAGCAGAGAAATGGAATGGTGGCTGGAAGGGAATACAGGGCCAAGAGCAGGTTAAAGGTGGGGATGAGGGGAACAATCCCAATCAACACATACATTAATAGCATAAGAAGGAAGGAGTGATTGAAGAAGCAAAGCTCTAAGAAAGGTGAGGCTTGGGCTGGGGATGTGGCTCAAGCGGTAGCGCGCTTGCCTGGCATGCGTGCGGTCCGGGTTTGATCCTCAGCACCACATACAAACAAAGATGTTGTGTCCACCGAAAACTAGAAAATAAATATTGAAAAAATTCTCTCTCTCTCATACTCTCTCTTTAAAAAAAAACAAAAACAAAAAAAAAGGTGAGGCTGATGGGATGCAGAGCAAAGGGGAGACTGACTGGTGACAGACAGAAATCTGTCTTTCCCTTGTAACAGGAGGAAAGTCAGAGGAGCCTCAAGCACCATTGGGAAGAGAGTTCCTATTTCCTGGCCTCTACTCTAGTTCCTCACTGAAGTGTGGGAGGTGAGGTTATCTGCTGAAATTGAAGAGTAGGCAAGACAGAGAGAGGACAGAGTACAGAATAGACAAAGGGACTTTACTAGGGAAATTGAAAAGGACAGCCAGGCAGTTACTGAGGGCTCCTTTAGAATCTGTAATCATGAATTTAAGTGAAAGCAGTCAGTGGGGTTGGGTGATTTTCCTTGAGCAACACCCAGCTCCTTGGTTGCAGGTGCCCTGATGATCAGGATGATTATAACAAAGCAGTGGTTCTTCAAGAGGGGACCCTGGACCAGCAGCATTAGATTGTTGAAAACTTGTGCCAAATGCACATCCTCAGGCCCCACCACAAGCCTATGTGGTTCTGGTGCTATGCGCAGTCAAATTGGAGCAGCCCTGTTAAAAAAGAAAAGAAGAACAAGAAAACTGAGGACCTACACAGGGATGATTATGATGACACACTAGAAAAATCTCAATTGCAAATAAAGGCAGGAGGGGGCTGATCAACAGTAATAAAATGATCTTAGAATATAACAAAGTAGGGGCTGGGGCTAGGGCTCAGCGGTAGAGCACTTGCCTAGCATGTGCAAGGCGCTGAGTTCGATCCTCAGCACCACATAAAAATAAATAAACAAAATAAAGGTATTTTTGTCCAACTACAACTAAAAAAATATTTTAAAAAAATAATATAACAGGGGCTGGGGGTGTGGCTCAAGCGGTAGCGCGCTCGGGTTCGATCCTCAGCACCACATACAAACAAAGATGTTGTGTCCGCAAAAATAAATAAATAAATAAATATTAATATTCTCTCTCTCGTGCTCTCTCTCTCTCTCTCTTTAAAAAAAAATAATATAACAAAGTAAAATAATTGTAGCATGGTGTATTCATTTTCTACCGCTGCCATAACAAATTATCCCAGACTCAGTTGCTGAAAACAACAGCAAGTTGTGATCTCATAGTTCTGCAGGTCAGAAGTCCAGGTACAGCATGCCTCAGATAGGTTGTCCATTTAGCTGCACAAAGGTTGAAATCAATGTGTTAGTGGGACTGCATTCCTTTCTTGAGATCTTGGAGATAAATCTGCCTCTAAATTCATTCTGGTTGTTGGTAGAATTTATTCCCTGTGGTTGTAGGGATGAGGTTTCCTTGCTGAGTGTCAAATGACACTATGGCAGCTTATTAAAGCCAGAGGCATTCTGTCAAGCTACCCCCTCCCTCTTCCAAACAGCCAGTGCATGGAAGTCTTCCAACACTTTAAATCTCTCTGGCTTACCCTTTAATTGTATCTATTCTTTCTGCTTTACTCCTTTATTGCATCTCTGACTCTTGCTAGAGAAAAGTATCTGGTCATATTTAAGGATTCATGTGATTAGATTGATCTTTTGCCTATAACTGATCAAAGGTTGCCCTTTTAGTGTCTACTATCATGGCTGTTGTCCTTTCTCACCTTCCCTTTCATATTCTTCATCCTCTTTACAAAAAAAAAGGCACATCTCTCATCTCTCACTTATCCTGAGACTGTCTTATTTTTTTTGGGGGGGGGATGGTGATAATGATATATTTTTCCCACATTTGTTATTGGTGCATTGTAGGTGTAGCTACTAATGGGATTTGTTGTTACATACTTGGACATGTACACAATACACAATATAGCAATATAATTTGACAAATATCACTCCCCAGAACTTCCCCACTTCATCCCCACCTCCCATAGTTCTCTTACCCTGAGTCTTATCTTTTCCTGCTTTATATATATTTTTGTTAAGTTTGAAGCATCTCCTCGTGAACTGGGTGATTTGGTCCACTGAGCTGTTAGACATGTTCTAGAATGAAACCAAGGAAAAATGAAAAGCTTTATCCCTCCCATCTCCAGATTACTATGCAAGAATGCATTGCTTCAGAGACAGAATCCTATGAGGGAAAAACAAAGAGATCAATAAGAAATGCCAGCGTAGCAACTTTTATCCTCCAGGCACAAACTTGGGGCAGGGCTCTCTGCCTCACTTAGATATTTAATCTAGAACCAGAATTCAGACTCAGGACCAGGAAACACAATATGTTTATTGAAGTTGAAAACGGAAGGCTGACTGGCTAATTAATTTGAAAATTAGGTTGATTATTGCCAATTTGATTATATGGCACAAATTTTCCTAAACTGAGTCAATTCTGCAGCTCCAAGGTTTTATCAAATTCTATTTAAAGCCCATAGTAAAATAAGGCATTTTTTAAAAAAATTATGTTGGCAAGTCATATTAAAATTAATATTTTTACATTTCTCTTTCTGAGTATGTTGGATTAAAGAAGCTATCTCTACATGAAAGAATTGAAGACATAAGTAATATTTGTTTAATCTTGGTAAGGCCTTTCTTGATATGCTTTGCGGAAATTGATGAGTGAAAAAGTCTAACTGGGTAACAAATGATTTTAAAAGAGAAGTGGTTTTCAATTCTTTTACTTTCAACGAAACTGAAAATTGAATTGTCAGCTAATAAGTTGTTAAAATTAATTTTTAGTAATACTTTGATATGTGATTTTGGTATATAACAGAAAGGGTTCAAATAATTGAAAATATCTGTAATAACTGAATTCCTTCCATCTTATCTGTTTATATGAACAAGGTAATATTTAATCACTAATACATGAACTAAAAAAAAAAACACAAGCCCATCTATCTCATGAAGAGAAACATTTTCACTAATATTTTGTTTTTCATATTTTAAAATTATTTTTAGTTTTTAATTCATGCTGACCACAGTGGTACTGCCTATAATCCCAGCAGCTTGAGAGCCTGAGTCAGGAGGATTGAAAATTCAAAGCCAGTCTCAACAATTTAGCAAGGCCCTAAGCAATTTAGTTGAGACCCTGTCTCAAAATTAAAAATATAAAGGGCTAGGGATGTGGTTGAGTGCCCCTGGGTTCAATCCCTGGTACAAAAAACATCTTTTTCATCATAATCATAAGACATTTATATTATTTCCATCAATGTGTTCCAACAATAATCATAATTCAATCCAGAAAAATTTAGCACCTATAACTTTATTGTCATAGAAAATAATACTTTTAAATTTCAATTCATTCAAAGAATAATATGTAATCAATAAAGGACTTTCAAAGATAAAAACATATTACATCAGGATAAAATTCTGTAGTGAGAACTACAATAAATTTCGCAAGTTCAAGGAGAAAAAGACACAAAATTCCAACTTTAAGAGATCATTTTTTAAATAGACATAGGGTATTAAGTTGTCATGGGATTTAGATTCTATAAGATACATTTTTAGCTGTCTTAGTCTGTTTTCTGTTGCTACAGCAAATTACCTGCAACAGGGTAACTCATAAAAAAAAATAGAAGTTTTGGCTTAAAGTTCTAGAAGCTGTTAAGTCCAAGAGCATGGTGCTGGCATCTACTTGCATCCATGAGGGCCATATTTCTGTCATCACATGACAGAGGGCATCATGTGGTGAAACTGCAAGAGTGCTAGCTCAAGTGTCTCTTCCTCTTCTTATGAAGCCGCTAATACCCTCATAGGGACCCCACACTCATGACCTCATCTCAGCCTACTTATCTCTCAAAAGTTCCACTTCCATATACTATGAACATATGAATTTGGGGATTAGGGTTCCAAAACAGGAACATTAGGGGACATATTCAAACTATAACGCCACCCATCTCAGTCCTCAGGACTTGCATATTTGCAACATCTGCTGGTTGATCCAGATGAATCTCTAACTGGTCTAATTGGTAGAGCTTCCCAGTACCGCTTGCACTTGCCAATGTGTCCCACCTCAGGACTTGACTGGCCTCAGACATTTCACAGCAGATGAAGAAAGGAAGAGAAGACCAAGTTGGTCTCAGCCTACACAGCTGCCCTATGCAACTGTCTGGGAGGCTTTGGAGCTCTAACCCTCCATTTGTGCCTTCCTTGACCCAGGGCTACTGGGATAGAGCTAATGGGCAGCAAAAGAGCAGTGTATGTTGGAGGAACACCAGACAACTCACTTCATTTTTCCCACCTCTTCTTCCATCCACCTAAATATTTCAACCTTTAATTCAGGTCTCTGTCTGGGTGGAACATTGATACTCTTGGATTTTCCATATTATAAGTGAAGGGAATACTTCATAGATGATTGAATGAATCAGTTAACTAACAAATAACTACACGGGTTCTGTAACTTCCAGTTTTTTAAGACTGTCATAGTAGCCAAGTGCAGTGGTGCGCACCTGTAACCCCAGCAACTCCAGAGGCTGAGGCAGGAGATTGAAATTTTGAGGCCAGTCTTAGCAATTTAGCAAGTCCCTAAGCAAGTCCCTGTGTCAAAATAAAACATAAAAATAAAAAGGGCTGGGGCTATAGCTCTGTGGTAAAGCACCCCTGGGTTCAGTGTACAACACTTTTTTATTTTTTTTTTAGTGCACAACACTTTCAACATAAAAACAACAACAAATAAATAAATAAATAAGATATTTTCCATTCCCTACCTTGGTTCAAACCATGTAGTTATTTGGTTCAGCACTTGTAATTTTCTTATCTATACCCTTCACCCAGCCCAGAATGAGTCTTTGCATTATGTCTACTCCTGGCCTCTTCCCTTATGCCCATATTTCAGCCTTATCTTTACAATCTGCCTTTAAGGCCATCAGACTCATTTCATAAAGTCCTACTTTCAATTATCCATTCATTCAGCAAACATTTATCAAGCACCTGCTACATTCCAGGCTCTGTTGAGAGTACTTGGGGCACACAAGTAAACAAAAAAGACAAATAAAACTAGGATTCCTGCTCTTGAAGCGCTCACTTTCAGGTAAATACTCTGTCATATGTTATTAGGTAAGAAGTCATATAAAAGGAAAAAGATCGGGCAGAGAAAGCAGGAGCAGGAGTAAGGGTGAAAAGTATTGCATAGTAAATTGAGTGGTCATGAGCAGTCAGAGGAGCAAGATCTTAGGACAGTGAAGGAATAGAGGCAGGAATATGTCTGGCATGTTTGAGATAGGAGACCCAAGTTGTTGGAGCAAAGTGAAGGATAAAGAGAACAGCAGAAGACAAGCCATAGGTAGAGGCTCCAGTCAGATGGTGTAAGTCATTATAAAGACTTTGTCTTTTATTCAGAATGAAACAGCCACCTGTTGGAGGTTGCAAAGAACAGGCTGGTGGGGGTGGGGGGTGCAGTTGCAGAAGCAGAAGAAATTGTAAAGTGGCTACTGCAGTAACCCAACTGAGAAATAACTAATGGCAGCTCTGATCAGGATGGTAGCAGAAAAAAGTGGTTAAAAAAAAAAGTGTTTGGGGGCTGGGGATATAGCTAAGTTGGTAGAGTGCTTGCCTCACATGCACAAGGCCCTGGGATCAATCCCTAGCACTGTGGGGTGGGGTGGGGAATGTTTGGATTACATCCTGGATATATTTTGAAAACAGATTCAACAGGACTTTTCTGACAGATTGGATGTGGGAGGTGAGAGAAAAAATAAATTCTGACTCCTAGGTTTTTTTTTTTTTTCTGAGCAATGAATGAATGGTGCTATCATCAATTGAAATAGGGGAGTCTGAGGGTAGAAACATTGGGGGAGTTAAGATCAGATGTTCGGTTTTGGACATGTTGAGCTTGGCTTGTCTTTTAGGCATTAGAAGCTGTTAAGTAAGTAGCTGGATAAATGACTGATCTCATGTCATCTCATGCTTTAAATATCCTATCTTCATGGACATCTCCAAAGTCAACTCTGATTCTCAGCTAAACTTCAAACTGTCTCTTTCTTTTTTTTTTTTAGTCTGTATTGGGGATTGAATCCAGGGGTGCTTTACCTCTGAGCTACATCCCTATTCCTTTTTATTTTTTTATTTCGAGACAGGGTCTTGCTATGTTGCTGAGGTTGGCTTCAGCCTTGCAATCCTCCTGCCTCAGCCCCTTGACCCTAGTCACTGGGATTATAAGTGTGTAACACAACACCCAGTCTAAAACTTCAAACTCTTAAATCCAAAGTGATTTACTCATTTAGTTTCTAATACACATGTTTTTTGTTTTTAGTTGTAGATGTACACAATACCTTTATTTTATTTATTTGTATATGGTGCTGAGGATGGAACCCAGTGCCTCACACATGCTAGGCAAGCACTCTACCACTGAGCTATAACTCCAGCCTAACAGGCATCTTTGGTTTAATCTGTCCAAAGCTAAATTTCTTATACCCTGCCTCCCTTCACAAAACACACACAAAAAAACAACATCCTACCTAAACCATAAAAGCAATCTTGATGCTCTTCCCTTTCAAACTTCACATTCAAACCACTAAGATCTTTCTGAATCCATCCTGAGGCCATCCTTACCATCTTCACCACTGTGCCTGCTCCAAAGCACCACATCATCTCTTGACTGGATTACTGTAACAACCTCCAAACTCAGTCTGTTCCCCACAATGACCAAGTTGATTCCTTTAAGAGTTGAGTCACAGCTCAAAACCTTTTAATGATTCCTCATCTTAGAGTAAAATTCTGTAGGCGCCCCCCCCAGGATGTGGGCCCTATCATGGACAACTTATCTCTCTAGGCACATCCCCTTCATTTGTCCTGGCTCACTCCACTCCTGTCACGCTGGCTTCTACTAGTGCCTCTACACTTGTACTTGTGCTTCCTCTGCCCAGAAATCACTTTTTCCAGATTTGAAAAATGGTTGTTCCTTCACTTCCTTCATTTTTCTGTTCAAAATGTTAATTTATCAAAAAGATCTTTTTTTCACTACTTGCCAAACAAACAAAAAACACATCATCTAGTCTCCCTTACCATGCAAGCTCCCTAGTAGCAGAATCTTTGTTCACTTCTGTATCCTT